AAAAAAAAAAAAAAAAAAAAAAAAAAAAAAAAAAAAAAAAAATTATTTAAAATATATATATTACCATATGATTTATTTCTACAGGTTGTAAAGATTCGTATTCAATATTATTCGTATATTCTTTTTGCAATATTTCATCATATTTTATTTTAAGTATGTGATATTGTGCCCTCCAATGATTAATTTCTTTTTCTAATACTTCACAAGAAGATTTTGAAAAATCAAAATTATTACCCTCCTCTTGTGTTTTATGAGATCGGCCTTCATTAATAGATTTTGATGATCTACGCGATGCAGATGGCGATGAGAGTGGAGATGGTTCTATTTGTGGAAGATTCGAATGTCCTATCCTATTATCAGATTCGTATCCATCCCGTTTACCTTCATTACTAGACCATGAAACACTTTCCTCTTGTTTTTGTTTATCACTTAATTTTTTTTGTAAATCATTCCTTTCTCTTTCCAATTTATCTACAATATTTTGATATTGACATTCTAATTCAATTTTAGATTTTTCACAATGATCTAATTTAGATTCTAATTGTTGTATTCTTTCATTTAAAGTTTCAATTTCACTATCTTTATCACTAATTTGTGATAATAACTGAGCATTCTCAACTATTTTTTTTTGGAATTCCTCATCTAAGATGTGATTCGGCGATGCAAGTACTTGGCTATTATTTTCCAACAATTTATTCTTCCCTTTCTTAGATTTATTTTGAGCTTTGTCAAGTTCTTCTTGCAACACAGTTATACGTTTAGTTAATTGTTGATTTCGAAATGATAAACTATCTAATTCTTGTTCAGCTCTTCGAAGTTCTACTTCTTTCTCTTTTAATTGCTCTCGAATATCTGCATTACGTGCTTGCTCATCAATCACAGCTTTTTTTAACACATTTGCTTGAGCACGAATCTAAAAAATTATAAGATTTTGTGACAAATATTTAATTACAAAAAACAAGGAATAAATTTCTAAAGCAGATAGAAGCAATAAGGATAATTATTATTTAGAAAAATAAATACAAATAATATTGAAATATTGAAACATTTCTCTTACTTTTGAGTATTCTGTAGCAATTTTTTGATATTTTATTTGCAATTGTCCATTGACACTCTCCATAACGTTTTCCATTCTTTCGATCGTCAATCTGTTATTATACTTTTCTATAGTAATCATTAAAAATTACTTATTGTTAAAATATTTGTTGTAGTATAATATTTTCTAACAAGAAATATATACATATTGGCACTTTTATATAAATGTCAATGTCAACTAGAAAATATTGAAAATTTTTAACGAATTTATAAAAAAATAAAACTAATTATTTGATAAAAAAAATTTTTGCAAATGAAAAATAAATGAACTTAACGCCCCCAAATAATAATACACTTTTATACGAGATTCTATGTATGTACTTTTTGATGACTGTCAATTGTTAAGATATTCTACTAAGAGAGAAGTTAGTCGTTAATCGAAATTTGAGTGTGAGATTTTGTACCCATTATTTTATTATTTTACCAACTGATAATACAAATTTTACATTTGTATTTATTATTTTTAATATATTTTCTATATTATTAACACATGATAAAAAATATCTTTTTGTTTAGTTTTTATAGATAAGATAGAATTATCGCTTGATATTATTATTTTATTTCGTAGCATGAAAGAAAAACATTGGATTGAAATTGTTACAAAATTACATTTATATATTTAAATATATAAAAAAATATTTATACGATACATAAAAAAAATTATTGAATTAAATTTGTTAGAAATATTTTCAGTTGTTTTTAAATCTACATGTAATCTACATGTAATTTAATAATGTTGTTGTTTAAATTAGAATATTCAAGAAAATTTGCAAGAATATAATATATAATATATAACATAATATATAAAACAAAATAATTACATATGAATCAAAATATGACACAAACACAATGTTGTAATTGATATAAAATGAAAATAACAAATAA